TCAGCAGACCCTGGTGTAGATGCTGGGCACTCACATGCACACTGCTCATGGTGCCCCTGTCCTCGGGAGGCTGAGAGCCTAGTGACAGAGTCAGATACTGAAGGGACAGGACTATGATGTCTTGAGTCCCATAGTCCAGGCAGGGAAAGAAGAGTGCTGCGGTTCTGGAAGGTGCTCTGGGCTTCAGCCCTGAGCTGGTATGTCGAGGAAGGTGGGGTGACCAGAGGAGTCTCCTCCCGAGGCCTCTGGGCACTGTGCTCCCCAGGGTCGCGTTCCCCTGGACGAGGCTGGCCAGAGTGAGCAGCACAGGGTCACTGCTCCTGATCGGGACTCCAGTGGCCTGGAGATTTTGTCTTGATCTGTATGTGCTCAGTATGGGGTTTGTTCAAAATGCTCCCGGGGTGGGGGGGGGGCGGTGAGCAGGGGCTCTGAGCAGTGGCGACAGTGGTCACGGGTGGGGCAGGGTCCCGGAGGAACCCCATATCTCTGGGGCAGGGCTGCCACATTTCCAAGGACATAGAGAGTCTGCGGCTGGGTTCTAACTGGGTCTGAAGCTTTTTGGCAGCCCCTGGGGGTCCCAGCTGAGCGTCAGCCCCAGCTGTGAGTGTGAGGAGTCCATTGTTAAGGTCCAGATCAGGGTCATTTATTGAAATATTTACATTCACTCAGGTTTTCTTCTCTTTTTTTCCTTCGCTCATTCCAAGCAGGTAGCCAAGCCAATTGTATTTTCCTTGCCTCAGGGACTTTTCCAGAGCAGCCCCAAGTCTCTGGTTCTCCAGGTCTGTTGCGAAAGTAAACCCCTGGCCCACTGGAGTGTAGGAGGAATCTTCTGGAAAGGCAGGGACAGCTTCCCCAGTTGCAGAGGTGAGTGAGGGTGAGGCTCAGAGCCACCAGGCCACGGCTATTCCTATCTGCTGCTGCCTTTCCGAGGTGAACCCCCCGCCCCACTCCCCCGGAGCAGCGTGGCCTCCGGGCTCCCCGCCCGAGCCGTTCCCCCTTCTCGTGCAGCGGAGGGTCACCCCGCCCCAGCTCTCAGCGGGGAGACTCTGACTAGCGTCTGCAGTTGGGGCCAGCGGGCTGAGAACCCCCCCCCCCGCGCTCGGGCAGTCTTGTGCGCGTGTGCGGCTTGGCCCGCGGGCCACCCTCCTGAGGCGCTGACTCGGGACCGCGGCCTCCCTGAGCTGCCCGGCGGCACCTGCCTGGGTGCCCTCACGCGAGAAGAGCGAACCCCTGCTGCTTAGCCACTGTCTGCCATTGTTTTATGACGGGCAGCTTCTGGAATGACACAAAGTAACTGTCAGAACGCGCTCCGCGTCCCTTTTGCCCTCTCGGGCCCCTTGCTGGCCTCCAGCGCACTGACCCCCAGGCACAGGAGCGGGGCCCCGAGAAGGGGGAAGAGCGAGAAGTCCGGTATTTATTCTCCGGGCTGCCTCCCGGAAAGAGAGCCCTCCCTCGCCAGTGGCCACAGCTCCTTTCAGGAGGCCCTGTCGGCTCAGCTACCCTCTCTGGGTTCCATAACTGCTCCTCCCTGGTCTCGTCAGCTCCAGGGATGTCCCTATGGTTCTAGAGCCCTGGGCACCGCACCAGCCTTGTTTGTTTTCCCTAAACCCTGCCCACACCTTTGTAAGGTTTCCTTTATTTAAATTCACCTCAATAGGGGCACCTGGGTGGCTCAGGTCATGATCTCAGGGTCCTGACATTGAGCCCCACGTCAGGCTCTGTGCTCAGCAGGGAGCCTGCTTCTCCCTCTCCCTCTGTCGCTCCCCCTGCTTGTGTGCTCGCTCTCTCTCTGTCAAATAAATAAATAAAATCTAAAAAAAAATTTTTTTAAAGATAAATTCACCTCAATAACCCAATTTTGAGTGTGCCGCCTGTTTTCCGGCAAGACCGTGACTGATATAGTGGCTGTGTCCCCAGGCCCACTGAACATGGGATTCTGGGAAAGCGATGCTCACAGACTGGAGAAGTCCATGGAGAACCTCTTTGTCAGGAAAGAGGACACCCCAGTGGCCCACGGGCTGATGCTGTGGCATCACCAATTAACACTGGCAGTGGCAGAGGCTGAAGGGCGGGTGGAAGGGCAGGTAGCTGTGGCACCAAGTCCCTACAGGGTCAGCGGTGATCATAAATACTGGAGAGTTGGGCCACTGGTCCAGGAGCATACGAGAAGATGATGAAAATCACCAGTCATCCAGGAGATGCACATCGAAACCACAGTGAGATATAGCTCATACCCATTAGGATGGCAAATAGAAGACAAAACAAAAAACAAAACAAAAACAGAAAATAAGAATGAGAAAGGATGTGGAGAAATGGGATCCCTTGCACAATGGCAGTTCCTCAAAAAATTAAAAACAGATTTACCCCATGATCTCACAATCCACTTCTGCATATACACCCAGAAGAATGACAAGCAGATTCCCACAGAGATGTTTGTAGCAACATTATTTTTTTTTAAGTTTTATTTATTTATTTTACAGGGAGAGACACAGCGAGAGAGGGAACACAAGCAGGGGTAGTGGGAGAGGGAGAAGCAGGCTTCCCGCGGAGCAGGGAGCCCGAAGTGGGGCTCGATCCATTATTTACAGTATCTAAGACATGGGAGCAACCCACATGTCTATCAACAGATGAACAGAGAAACAAAATGTGGTCTATGTATAGAAGGGAATATTATCCAGCCTTAAAAAGGAAGGAAATCCCAACAGAAGCTACAACATGGACGAACCTGGAGGGTATCATGCTCAGTGAAAGAAGGCAGTCACAAAAAGGCAAACATTGTATGATCCCATTTAGGAGGTCATTGGACAGCAAGTAGAATGATGGTTGCGTGGCGCTGGTGGGGGAGACAATGGAGGGTTATAGTCTAATGGGTGCAGGGTTTCAGTGTAGCAAGATGAAGAGAGTTCTGGGCATGTTGGTGGTGGGTGTACAACACTGTGAATGCACTTACTACCACTGAGCTGTGCACTTGAAAATGGTTCGGATGGTAAATTTTATGTTATTTGCAGTTTACCACAATTTGAAAATTAAAAAAAAAAAAAACACGCGCAATGAGATCCCACTTCACACCTACCATGATGGCTGTAATTTTTTAAAAGGCAAATAAGAGGGCGCCTGGGTGGCTCAGTTGGTTAAGCGACTGCCTTCGGCTCAGGTCATGATCCTGGAGTCCCGGGATCGAGTCCCGCATCGGGCTCCCGGCTCGGCAGGGAGTTTGCTTCTCCCTCTGACCCTCTTCCCTCTCGTGCTCTCTATCTCTCATTCTCTCTCTCTCAAATAAATAAATAAAAAATCTTTAAAAGGGAAATAAGAGGCTTTGGCAAAGAATTGGAGAAACTGGAATCCTCGTACAATGCTGGACGGGATGGAAAATGGTGTAGTCTCTGTGGAAAACAGTATGATGGCTCCTCAAAGAGCTAAACATCGAATTATCATATGACCCAGCGATTCCACTCCTAGGTATACATTCCCCCAAAATGAGAGCAGGGATTTGTTCAAAGCAGCACTACTCACAACAGCCGAAAGGTGGAAACAACCCAAATGTCCATCAGTGGACGAATGGATAAACAAACTGTGGTGCACCCACACGATGGAATATTATTCAGCCGTGAAAAAGAATGGAGTACTGATATGTCCTACAACATGGATCAACCTTGAAAGGATTAAGCTCAAAGGCAGAAGCCAGTCACAGTGGCCCACCTACTGCACGATTCCATTTCCATGAAACATCCATCATAGGCAAACCCATAGAGATGGGTATTAAATTCGAGGTTACCAGGGCTGGGGGAGAGGAGAATTGGAGTTATCATTCAGTGGATACACTTGAAGTGATGAAAATGTTTTGGGAGTAGGGGGCATGGTTGTGCCACATCGGGAATGTAATGAATGCCGCTGAATTGTACACTTAAAAATGGTGAAAATGACAAATTTCATGTTATATATATTTTACCACAATTTTTAAAAGCTAATGTAATAAACCAAAAACCTTTGATTCATCCACTTTAAATGGGCGAATTATACAGTACATAATTTATACCGAAACGGCCACAGATGAGCCTGGAGCCTGACTTAGGGCTTGGAGACTTGCAGCTTGCAGAATCTGACAAACACTCAACCCCATCAGGTAAGGAGCTGGTGGGGAAGCAGTGGGGTACTTTAGGTAGACAGAGCAAGGCTGGAGAACTCTGAACCCTCAAATTTCCGTGAACCCCCCCTTGCCAACACAGGTGCTCCCGTCCCCCCATCTGAGGGAGCCAGTCTCGCTCCGCACAAAAGCTCTGTGCCGACCTGGGGCTGCCGCCTTCTGAGACAAAGCCAGTTCTCCGCAGAACCTCCCCCACCCATCGGCACCACTCCCTGACCCATGACAAGAGTCGATCCTTCATGTTGCCCTGCACCCACACCTTTCACCCTCAAACTTTATATGGAAGGTGAGACACTGAAGATAGAAACAGACACGAGCCAGACCAGAGAGAAGAACAGAACTCTGACCCGCCGTCTGCAGCAACCAGCCCAGCAAGCCAGCAGCAGCCCACCCTAGACAGCCATGACTTGATTCATAACTGACTGCTTTCCTCATCTTTGCCCCGGCTTCCAGCTTAGGACGGGCCCAGTATGCACCTCTAGCCATTCACTGGGGGTGCCCCCCTTCCCCGCGCCAACAGCCTGCAGTCAGGGCACACCTCCAGCCCGGCCTTTGTCCACGACAAAACTTTCCCTCGCCCCTGCCTGCCTTCGAGTCTGTGCCTGAGGCCAGTGAAGCTGCAGGACCCCCCCCTCCCCCGCTATGGATCGCAAGCTCTGAATGAAGAGCCCCCCCTCCCCTTTGGGCGGGTTTCACTGTCTTCCACGAAGGCCATGCTCCCGTGGGAGCCTCCCCGACATGTGTTACCCTCCAGGGTGCAGCTAACATGTCCTGCATCTCCCCACCGTTGTGAGCTCTGATGGCTTCCCGAAGCAGCACCTTTAGGAGCGGTCTGCACGAGCTGCCCTGTCTGAGGGGGGCTATTTGTTTCCCACGGGGGCCCCCACAACTCCATCCTGTCTCGG